TTGGAGATCTTCTAGTCCAACCCCCTACTCAAGGCAGGAGACCCTATACCACGGGTTGGCAACCCGCGGCTCTGGAGCCACATGTGGCTCTTTCAGCCTTCTTCTGTGGCTCCAGTCCTCCTCTGCCATTTGCAGAGAGAGAGAGAGAGAGACAGAGAGAAGCACTTGCGCTTTGCTTTCCCCCCCTCTCTCTCTCTCGGGGCTCCTGATTCGCCCTGCGCCTGGACGCCCCACCCCCTGGGAGAAGTGTGGCCAGGAAGTCCCTTTCCCGGGCTGGCCCCATCCGAGGCACACATGGCTGGGGAGCCGTGCAGGGCAGCCCAGGGATCCCCCCCGGGACCATCCCGCCGGAGCCTCCTCTGAGCAGGCCAGCCCTCCCGCAAGCTGCAGTCCCGAGGGAGCAGAGCCCCTGCAATCCCCAGCTGGTGCGACTGTTGGCCCTGCTGGCCGGGAAGATGCGCTGGAGTCCCGGCTGCCGGGAAGGCGATCGGCCCGCTCCTCTCCTATTGCCCGGAAGAGGTAAACTGTCAAGCCCTGTGGGCTCGACATGAACGGGAGGGGGGAGGGAGGCAACAATCCCCTGGGAAACCAGGAAACCAGTACCACTGCCAAACAGCTGACGGTAACAACATCGAATGCCGAACGTTTGGGAGGCCGCCAGACAGTGTTTGGCCCAGGAAACCCTGGCAGAGGCTGGAAGCGGGGACGATGCCTGGGGAGATGCCGGGGATGGTCCTATCTGTCCTATGAAGCCGCCAAACAGCTGAGCGGCCTGGCTCCACCCTTCTCCCCATCTCTTGAGTACCCCATTTTTTTTTTCTGATTGCTGTACGTTTCTGTCTTTCACCCAAAATCCTGCACAAAGAGGAAAGAAGGAAAACAGAACAAAGATGGCTGCTTGCTGTAATATTTTATTGGTACCGTATTCTTCAAGGAATGAAACAGAAACAAAAAACAGAATGAAATCACCCAATAGAGTGAAACCACACCTTGGTCTGGCATTTCTATCCAGTAAGACTCTCCCCGCTGTGGCTGGCGGAGACTTTTCATTTTAAACAAGGAAATTTTATTAAACTGTGAGACTGTGATTTTATTATTACATAAACATATATATTATTGCTAGCATGCCGTCTATATCTATGCATTAATCCTGCTGTCTTCATTTTATCTAATTATTCTTCCCCCCCCCTTTGGTTCAATCGCGTCCAATTCTCTGAGACATCCTGAACAAGTCCCTGCAGTTTTCTTGGCAAAGGTCCTTCAGAAGTGGTTTCCATTCCCTCCTTCCTAGGGCGGAGAGTAAATGATTGACCCAAGGTCATCCAGCAGGCTTTATGCCTAAGGTAGGACTAAAACTCATGGTGTCCCAGTTTCAGTAACCTGATGCCTTAATCACTTCGTCAAACTGACTCTCCAGTTACCTTAATATCTTACTCCTAAATAAAATGTTCTTAATGCTAAACTTACATTGAGTTATTGTTTTATATATTAGCCTCTATGCCTACATTATAGCTTCAAAGTCCTATTTCACCACAATCGTATTTGTTTGTTTATTTAACAAATTTATATAACCACCCGAGTTATACACAGTGATTCTGGGTGGCATCATACAACATGAGTAGTTAATAAAAGCTAATCATAATATTCTACTCTATATCGCTACAATATGATTTCATAGTCACTCCATTTCTTTGGTGCTAAACTCTACACCAGGGGTAGGTAACCTTGGCTCTTTTATGACTCGTGGACTTCAACTCCCAGAATTCCTGGAGCCAGCCATGCTGAGGGGAAAGGGAGAGGTTTCCAAGCTGAGCCCTGCTGGCTCAGGAATTCTGGGAGTTGCAGTCCGCGAGTCATAAAAGAGCCGAGGTTGCCTACCCCTGCTCTATACCATGTTGAGTTCCCATTGCTTCTCTTTAAGGGTGTGAATTGCTGTATGTCAACCTTGGAGGCTTTAAGAGGCGTAGACTTCAGTTCCCAGAATTCCACAGCTGGGATTGACGGCTAAGGGAATTCTGGGAGTTGAGGTCCACGCATCTTAAAGCTGCCAAGGTTGAGAAACAACCGGTCTACGTTCTTATTCAGCAGATTTCAAATGGGGGGTTTCTGCTCCATTGCAGCCTTCAGTGGGCATCTGCCCCTTTTGGAGTGTCTTTGTTTCCCTGCTGAACTACATTACAGGTAGTCCTTGACTTACGACCACAATTGAGCCCAAAATTTTTGTTGCTAAGTGTGACAGCTGTTAAGTGAAGCACTGCAGTTGTTAAGTTAGTAACACGGTTGTTAAGTGAATCTGGGTCTCCCCATTGACTTTGCTTGTCAGAAGGTCGCAACCCCGGGGACACTGCAACCGTCATAAATATGAGTCAGTTGCCAAGCATCTGAATTTGGATCATGTGACCACGGGGATGCTGCAAAGGTTGTAGGTGTGAAAAATGATTGTAAGTCACCTCTTTCAGTGCCGTTGTAACTTCGAATAGACACCAAATGAACTGTTGTAAGTCGAGGACTACCTATATTTTGGATTCAAAGGTTGTAAGTCACCTTCATTGTTGACCTGATTAAAAAGGTGTGGTGTAATATGAATAACAAATAAAGAAAATGTTCTGGTCGTTGTCTAAAATTCTGCTTCAGGATCAAATCAATGGCAGAATCAAAACGTTATGCAATTCAGGTGGGGAAAAGAATGATCTCTACAAATGATAACCAGTCCAATGGCTAAAATATATAAACTTCTCTGACAACCTGAAAAAAGGGACAAGTGAAAGAATGTATGATTAAAGGGGTTAAGCACTGTGGGATTAATATGCTGGTGGAACAATGGGAAAATATATGGCTGAAAAAAACCAGAACCTGACATTATAATTTAAAAGAGAACTTCTTATAAAATGATGTGCTATTGGTAAATGCTTCCAGAAAAATTATCTAGAATATGTAAAGGTGCTTCAACTTTATGGTGGAAATGTGGAAAACATGAAAGGGTCATTTTATCATGCCTGGTGGGCTTGCAAGAAATCCTGAAAATGTTGGGTTCAAATACATAACAGTGATATAAAGAATTTTGAAGATTAATATTCAGTTGAAACCAGAACTTTAACCGATAGATAACTAAAGAGAATTAGGAAAGATTGTTTTTATATATAATACCTGCTGCAAAATGATATGCACAAAAGTAGAAAGTTTTTGAAATACAAAGACTACTCTAAAAATCCGAGCCCCATAAAAACGACATACTGATCTCCGGGACAGAGAATTTTATTATGCACTAAGCTTTCATTAGCCACTGCTAACATTATCAAAGTGTAAGCTAACATTGGAGAGACATTGGGTTTTTTTTATAGCCAGGAGTTATATGACAAGCGTATACAGCCTATAAAGCAGGCATCTGGAAGTAGACCAATGTGATGACCCTGGGCCCCGAACGGAGGCAAAGCAGTCGGCTGGCAAGAGAAACAGTCCTTTAATCACTGCCAATGTTCCCCAAAAGCTCCCACATATGCTGGCAAGAGTTCAGCCGAAGCACACAAACACACACACGTTCCTTTCAGCTGCCTCTGGCTAAAGGCAATTTCAATACAGCCGGAGAAGTTTACAATGTCCTCAAGGCAAGGCAGATAACAAGAAAACAAAACCTATAACCCATAACCTAATGATCTTTTAGCTGATTTCACACACCACATTGAAACCGATTATTGAATAAAACCGTGTTTCTGTATCTGTATAATACATCAAACATACATTCCCCAAATAAAGTGGGTCACTACACAAAAAAGTGGGTTACGTCACAAAAACATAACCAAGATTAAAAACTAAAGGTGGATGCACCCACTTCCATCCTAGGTCCACCACAGGCCCTCTATAAGTGCAACTTTCTGTACTAAATGCAGCCTGAAACCTGACCGAAATGGGAGTGGATAATCAGCTTAAAGGGTGCTTTGTAGCTGTAGATTGACCCAGTGGTGGGATTCAGCCGGTTCGCACCACTTCGGCAGAACCGGTAGCTAATTTTTTGTTGCCCAGGCCCAGAGTGGACTTCCGGAAGTGGCATCCACGCAGAGAACCAGTTGTTCACATACTTGAATCCCACCACTGGACTGACCCCTTTTTCAATAATATTTCCCCCAAAAAAATAAAGATTGGAGACAGGGCAGAGGTTATCTAAAATTGCTTGGTCAAAGGACAGCCTCTTGAATATAGGGTGTATCGCTCCCGTCTTGAAAGAGGAGGCACCAGATTTTATGCTGCCAAAACCTGAGCGCCAACAGACTAAGGGAGTCTATTGCCAGCTCAGCAACAGAATCCAGCGACACAGGTAGGGATAATGCCAGGCAGCCTGGAAGTCAGTACAACACCAACAATCTCAAGTGTTCCCTAATAGACTGTGTTTTGAGGGGGGTGGTCCTTGGTGCTCTCTGAGCTTGCTTGTTTTCCTGCGGACATTTCATGACCCTGTCTAGGGAACATCATCAGTGCTAGTAAGGAGTGAAGTTTGCTGAGTTTATATTCTGGTGTCTTGCCTGTCTGGGTGGATGGGGGGCAGTCTTAGGGATTCTTCAGTTGAGCTGTTTACTAATGGCTCTGTGGCAGTTTTTTGATTGGGGCACTGCTTACTTGATTGTTGGTCTGAAGGTGACCTTGGAGCTAATCTATGCTGATCTGAGTGCTGAATACTGGTGGAGAAGCGCTGGAGACTTTTTCCCTTTTGGGCTGACCTGCCCAAGCTCAGAGAGCACCAAGGACTCCTCATTTCAACCCTCAGCTACAAATATTCTCCTTCGTTGGAACCGTGTTGTTTCCAGTTCTTGCTATTTTTCTAGCCTACTCTTCCTATTTGGAGGAATCATCTTCAATTCTTAGTCCTTTGTTTTAGATAAATATGGTAATGTACATGTGAAGACTTCATAGAAATATGTATCACTGAGCAAAACTATGGAAAGCAGACCTGAAGAGTAACTAATGAAATTAAGCCACAAAATTAAGCTCTGCCAGGGCACTGGAGATTAACGAGAAACTGCACAGATCTTCAACGGGGCAAGTTGCGGCCCAGCCCCTAATACATGCTCCATGTTAAGTTCTTTTAGTCCTTCTGGATGCTGGAAGGCAAATGTTTTCATAAGGTTGGTAAAGAAAACAAAGAGCTCCATCTGAGCCAAAGTCTTCCCCATGCATTCACGGCACCCTAAAAAAAAAAAGAGAGAGAAAGATGTTCAGGAGATGACTTGAACCATTATCAAAGCCGATTGGAGTTATAACCTAGATGCAGATTGGCAAGCATTTTTAAAATAGCACTTAGCAGGAGTAATAGCACTTATATAACACTTCACAGTGCTTGACAGCAAACTCTAAACGGTTTACAGAGTAAGCTTCTTGCCACCCCCAACAATCTGGGTGTCATGGTTCCAACAGATGAAACTCTTCAAAAGAACTTCGAGGCATTGTTTACCTTAAAGAATCTTTATTTTGAGTAGCATAGTATCGGCACTGCATAATCGAAGCCAAAAACTGAATTCCCTCCCCTGAGCACATAGTATCAAAACACAATTCCCTCCTCCAATTAACTGTCATAAATCACATTCCCCAATTAGCTTGAAGTGTGGGCTTCCTCTCCAGTTCTCCAGCCTGCCAATTCCTTATCAGCTGTGGTTACAATAATCTTGATTCTCACGCTAGGTTTAGTGTTGTTAGGTCTAGCTGAACTCTTGTTCACATCCCCCCTCCCAGAATCGTTTAACTCTAAAAGCAAAAGGTAAAAGATGGCTACTTTTCCATCTGTTGTCAATGCAAAAACATCCGATATTAGCAGCGTTGACACTGGGTCCTCATTTTACCGACCTCGGAAGGATGGAAGGCTGAGTCAACCTTGAGCCGGTCAGGATCGAACTGCTGGCAGTCAGCAGAATTAGCCTGCAATACTACATTCTAACCACTGCGCCACCAGTGGTCAGAACGCTAGGGAAACTCTGTTCCCAGTCACGGAATGAGCGGGTAAAAAAAAATAATTGGGAAAAGTTCCATGCAATACCATTTATCCTTGGCGTGAAGCCAGTCCATTATAATTGTATGTCATGCTGCTCCTAAAATGGGTTGGTCATATGACCGACCCCATTTAAGGACTTTTGCGGCAGTCGTTAAGTAAGTAAATCACTGTGGTCATTAAGTGAACTCATGGCCATTAAAGCTTTTAGCTTTAGAAATCCATTACGGAAACTTTGCAAAAAACTAAGGGTCAGCCAAGCGCCAAAACCATGGCTCAAAGCTATTGCTAACGTTTGAAGATAGGCCAGTTATATTGTCAGCGTATTTACCTGCCCCAAAGGTAAAGAATTCTTCTCTGAATACAAATTTGTCATCTTTATCCAAAAAGTGGCTAGGGTTGAACTTCTGCGGTGTCTCCCAGCATTTGGGATCAAGCAGAACAGAGCAGAGATCAGGGAACACCAGGCTATCCTACAAAAGGAGAAAAGAGGAAACTCTTATTTCATAACTGCTGTTTTCTCAAAGACTGCTAAGCCTCATGATCCAGTTACTTTATTTCCTGTGTGTGTGTGTGTGTGTGTGTGTGTGTGTGTGTGTGGTTTGCCATTGCTTCTTTCCTGGGGCTGAGAAAAAGGGACTGGCCCAAAGTCACCCAACTGCTTCATGCCCGAGGCATGACTACAAGTCACAGTCTTAACCACTATATCAAGGTGGCTCTTTTTCTGAGTTATACATGAAAAAAGTAAGGTTCTACATTTAGGCAAGAAAAACCAAATGTACAGGTATAGTATAGGAGGTACCTTGCTCAATAGCAGTAACTGTGAGAGGGATCTCGAAGTCCTAGTGGACAATCACTTAAATATGAGCCAGCAGTGTGCTGCAGCTGCCAAAAAGGCCAACACAGTGCTAGGCTGCATTAACAGAGGGATAGAATCAAGATCACGTGAAGTATTAATACCACTTTACAAGGCCTTGGTAAGGCCACACTTGGAATACTGCATCCAGTTTTGGTCACCATGATGTAAAAAAGATGTTGAGACTCTAGAAAGAGTACAGAGAAGAGCAACAAAGATGATTAGGGGACTGGAGGCTAAAACATATAAGGAACGGTTGCTGGAATTGGGTATGTCTAGTTTAACGAAGAGAAGGACGAGGGGGGACATGACAGCAGTGTTCCAATATCTCAGGGGCTGCCACAAAGAAGAGGGAGGCAAGCTATTCTCCAAGGCGCCTGAAGGCAGGACAAGAAGCAACGGATGGAAACTGATCAAGGAGAGAAGCAACTTAGAACTAAGGAGAAACTTCCTGACAGTTATTACAATTAACCAATGGAACAACCTGCCTCCAGAAGCGGTGAATGCGCCAACACTGGAAGTTTTTAACAAGAAACTGGACAGCCATTTGTCCGAAATGGTATAGGGTTTCCTGCCTGAGCAGGGGGTTGGACTAGATGACCTCCAAGGTCCCTTCCAACTTTATCATTATTATTATTATTATTATTATTATTATTATTATTATTATTATTATTATTATTATTATTATGACTTGCATTTTACCCAATAGGTAGGGTTTGCACTGCACACTAAGCCACAAGTAAACAAAACCAAGTGTAACTGGCAACTCATCCCAGCCAACTCACCACAATCAACTTGCCGCGGCTAACTTGCCGTGGCAAACTCACCACTAATATAAAAAAAAAATGGTGGAATAGGATCATCAAAGAAAGGATGCAAAAGGAAGGACAAAATGAAATGTGAATGACAAAAATTAAAATATTTTTTTTATTTATTTTAAATAATTAAATCGAATTGTTAAATTGTCCCACAGCAAGTTGTCCTGCAGTGACTTGGCCAGGGTGAGTTGCCACAACGAGTTGGCTCTGGTGATTTGTCCCATTCCGCCTCAGGATGCCCATGGCTGAGGCACTTGATAGCACTTAGACTTATATACCGCTTCACAGTGCTTTGCAGGTCTCTCTAAGCAGTTTACAAATATCAGCCTATTGACCCCAACAATCTGGGGCCTCATTTTACTGACCTGGGAAGGATGGAAGGCTGAGTCAACCTTGAGCTGGTCAGGATCGAACTCCTGGCAGTCAGGAGAATTAGCCTGCAATACCACATTCTAACCACTGCACCACCAGGTCTTTAAAGCTGTCCTTAGCCATTCTAGTTTCAAAGAAGTGTTTTTCCTTTTTATTTTTGGCCAACGGGACTTTCACCAAGGGTGCGACCTGGCATGATTCACTGGCCCCTTCATTACTGACCCAGGAAAAGCTTGAGATCCCCTCTTATTGGCCACTTCCTGCACTTATGACCTCCCCTTCCATTTTGGCCTGGGCTGAAGTGAAGAGCTGGTAGCTGGCCCTTACAGGGATATCTGCCCATATTGTCCATAGAATTTACCAGCTCTTATCTGAGCCCATTATGACATGGATTCAAAACAACACTGGTCCTGTTTTCTTGTTTTTGTTTTTAAGCCTGGGCTTAGTGCTCTCTTGAAAAACTGTGCTGCACAAAAGATGAAGTGCACTTGGGGAAGGTGTGTGTTGCTAATGCTGCCCCCCCACACACACACAGACAGACAGTTTTCTATTGCTTTGGCTGACAATGTAGGGGTTTGGGTTTTTGTTTTTTTTTGCATTGCTGTACTATTATTCTGTACCTTTGTAATATAAGCATCAAGTAAGGTCGTATCTATTGTGCACAATCTAAAGACAGTGAAAAATACGACACTGCTGAGACGCTGGGTTTCGTGAATGACGGCATAGGAATAAGGCAGCTTCTTCCGATCTTCAAAACAGATTACTTGGTGGGGATCCAGTGCATTTTCGATCTCCTTCTGTACTTTCTCTAAGAATAAAACAAATGCATTCTGTTTGACAAGCAAGAAAATAACCTCTATAGGGAAAGCTCAAGAAATTCAGTCTCAACTTAGTTAAAGCTCGGGTTAAATTACTAGCTAATTGTGTAAGAGCTATAACTAAAGGGAAAATTAGTGCTATTATGAATACTTAGATAAATGGAATAGAATAGAGGTAGTCTTTGCTTAACAACCAACTCCGGGTGACAGGATAGCAGTCTTCCAATAGTTGAGGGGCTGCCACAAAGAAGAGGGGGTCAACTTATTCTCCAAAGCACCTGAAGGTAGGACAAGAAGCAATGGATGGAAACTAATCAAGGAGAAAACCAACCTGGAACTAAGGAGAAATTTCCTGACAATAAGAACAATTAATTAGTGGAACGACTTGACTCCAGAAGTTGTGGGTGCTCCAATACTGGAGGTTTTTAAGAAGAGACTGGACAGCCATTTGTCTGAAATGTTATAGGGTTTCCTACTTGAGCAGGGGGTTGGACTAGATGACTTCCAAGGTCCCTTCCAACTTTGTTATTGTTTTGTTATTGTTATTGTTATTGTTATTGTTATTGTTATTGTTATTGTTATTGTTATTGTTATTGTTATTGTTATTGTTATTGTTATTGTTATTGTTATTGTTGGACTTCAACTCCCAGAATTCCTGAGCCAGCCATGCTGAGGGGAAAGGGAGAGGTTTCCAAGCTGAGCCATGCTGGCTCAGGAATTCTGGGAGTTGAAGTCCATGAGTCATGAGGGGGCCATAGTTCCCCCATGCTGGCTCAGGAATTCTGGGAGTTGAAGTCCACGAGTCATAAAAGAGCCCAGGTTGCCTACCCCTAGACTAGTCACTAGAAGGCCTCCAAGGTCACCTCCAACTCTGTTATTTTGTTGTTCCATTATTATTATTATTATTATCAGGGCTTTTTTGTCATAGAACACACCGGAACGGAGTTCCGGCATCTTTTCTTGATGGATTTTCCAGACTTGCCTACTTTTCCTATTGTTTCCCTTCCTATCCTCGTTTGTTTTTGAAAATGTCCCGCTGGTGGTACGGTGCGAGCGGGGTCCTCTCTGGCGCTGTCTACCTCCTCCAGGAGGAGCCATGAAGCACTGGAGCACCACAGCCAGAGCGTGGCTTGATTGGCTGGGTCGGACATGTGGTGTGGAAGCCGATGGTGGCAGTAGGAGACACATAAACAAGGAGGCCATCTTTCACAAGAGGGTGAGTGAGCCTTTTGCCTTCCCCTACAAAAGGTGGTGTGTGTGTGAGATTAAAAAGAGGTGAAGCGAGAGGAAAGAAGGGCGGCTGGCGTGGAAGCTTGCCCGACAGCGAAACTTTGCCGTCTCGGTTCCTTGGGTCGTTCAAAGGCTGGGATGTCTACGACAATCTCTTTTTAGTCTTTTAAACTTTATATTCAAACTGCAGAGGGGAAGAATAAGAATAAAGCTAATGTCTTGTGATTCGGAGGTTTTATTATTAATAATAATATATATTAATTATGTACTGGTCAGATGTATAAAGGTAGACTACAGTATGAGGTTTAATCAGATCTATTTATTCAATTGGGTTTAGCTTAAAGGTAAATTAAAAGTAATCTGTTCACTGACAAAGTTTCAACTTTCATTTGTTTCAAGTCAATATCCATATTAAACTCCAAATGTAAATTTTTCCACCTTGTTTGACAACTTCTTAAAAATAATTCAATCTTTTACAAGCAACCAAATTTTGTTTTATTGGGCCAATTTCACTCCACGTAGAAAGCTGACATTTCCACTCATTAAACTAAATGGATACACCAGTGGTAAATGTCCCGAAAGATTAATAAAATGCCTTCTTGTAATTTAAAGCCACACAGTGCATGATAACATTAATAGTATTAACTTACCTTGAACAAAATCCTAGTCTTTCAGATACACTAAAAACTGAAGGGGGTTTTTTTTCAACCACAAAGGTAAACCTTGTAGGGTAGGCAAGGCGGGTTGTATGGCGTGTGTGACTTCTGGCACCTTTTTTTTTTTTTTTTTTTACAAAAAAGCACTGATTATTACCATTCATTCAGCAATGATTTGAAGTTACAACAGCATTGAACCAATGGGATTCATGCCCAGTCCTTGATGTTGTGGCCATTGCAGTGCCCCTGCAGTCATGTGATCAAATATTTGAGCACTTGGCAGCCCACCTACATTTACGACCGCAGTACAGGTAGACCTCAGCTTACAGCAGTTCATTTAGTGACCGTGTGAAGTTACAGCATCACTGAAAAAAGTGAGTCATTACCGTTTTTCACCCTAACACCTGTTGCAGCATCCCCAGGGTCATGTGATCAAAACTCAGCCGTTTAGCAACTGGTTCATATTTATGACGGCTACAGTGTCCCTCCCCCCCGGGGTCATGTGATCCCCTTTTACGATCTTCTGACAAGCAAAGTCAGTGGGGAAGCCAGATTCACTTAACCACCTTGTTACTAATTTAACAACTGCAGTGATTCACTTAACAACTATGGCAAGAAAAGTCATAACATGGGGCACCATTCACTTAACAACTATCTCACTTAGCAACATAAATTTTGGGCTCAATTGTCATAAGTTGAGGACTACCTCTGTGCACTTCAATTTCTATCCTGCCCATCTCCTTCTGTCTCTGGCCTTTTGGCTCACCCTGCACCACCATCACCTGTGCTGCCTTGCCCTCCTGCATCCTACTGGCTCTGCTGCTCCACCCTGCACCCCACTGCCCTGTGCACCGCTGATCCTGCCACTCTGCTTTCCACCAGTCCTGCCACCCTGCCATCCTGCACTTTGCCACCCCTGCTGACCCCATTTGACCTTCGCGTCTTCTTCCTCCCACTGATGATGAAATGTACCCAGCTCGGCCCTTTGGGAAGGTCAGCTGGAGGCGGCAGGTGTGGCAGAACCCAGAGCGGTCAAAAAAGCAGAGATGGGGAGAAGATAAATGGGCAGAAGAGTTGACGTGGAGGCCACTTCATGGCATGGCAGAAGCAGGAGGTCCTTGCCTAATAGGCACAACAACTTCTCCCCCTTCAAATCCACATGGCCTCCAGGCACTGGGACAGAATCTCAACAGCCTCCCTTGTGCACTCCAGAATTGGAAGATCTAAAGGTAGACGTTGAAAAGAAGGGAGGAGAGACTAGAATTCTCACCACAAGCTTTTCTCACCTTGAATGTTGGGGTGAACCCCCATAAAAAACAGAGTCCAAGAAAGGGTGACAGCTATTGTGTCTGTGCCTCCGAGGAACAAGTCGACGATAACTTGAACCAAATTGTCTTCATGAAAAGGCGATGTGGAGTCCGCTTTCTCCTATGGATCAGATGAACAAAGCAAAACCGAAGTCCAAGATATTCAGAGTTATGGAGCCTTCATTCCAACCACTGCACTGCATTGCCACTGTATTATACTCCAAGTTTATCCACAAGATGAGGAACAGGAGTTTCCATAGCTCTATTGTGTCCTATCTGCATGCAGAATGGGACAATTATCCCCGAGCCGTGGTGGGCGCAGTGGTTCAAATGAAGTACTGCGAGCTAATTCTGCCGACTGCCAGCAGTTCGATTCTCACCGGCTCAGGGTTGACTCAGCCTTCCATCCTTCTGAGGTCGGTAAAATGAGGACCCAGTGTCAATGCTCCTCCTCTTCCACCTTATTCTGCTTCTTGCCGGGGGGAACAACACTCCACCCCAATCCACTCCACCCCAATCTTTCCCGTTTCCACAAAGAAGACGGGGTCAACTTATTTCCCAAAGCACCAGAAGGCAGGACAAGAAACAATGGATGGAAACTAATCAAGGAGAGGAGCGACCTGGAATTCAGGAGAAACTTCCTAACAGTGAGGACAATTAACCAGTGGAACAGCTTGCCACCAGAAGTTGTGGGTGCTTCATCACTGGAGGTTTTTAAGAACAGACTGGACAGCCACATATCTGAAAGGTTGTCAGATCTCCTGCTTGAGGAAGGGATTGGACTAGAAGACCTCCAAGGTCCCTTCCAGCTCTATTCTGATTGATTGGCAAGCCAAGCCAGCAAGACTGCACCCAATGGGAAGGCAGAGGCCTACCCTTCAGTGCGCAGATTTGCTGCTGGGATGTGCCACTATGCACTTTGAATTGGCCAGGGACAAGTGAAGAAGTGAAACATTTTCCAGGGGGAAAAAAAACAAGAAAGCCCAGTTTCCTTTTGGAAAAGCGCTGTCAAGGTTCTGACTAATGAAACACTTCAAAGAACTTCCAGGCATTTTATCCTAAAAAGTCTTTTTATTCGTGTGACAAAATGTCGGCACGGCATGATGAAAGGGATGCTAAGATCTGAAATCTCCACCCCCCGAGCAGTTATTTTTGCTAGCATTTCCCCTCCCTTATTTTGCTGTCATGATTTACATTCTCCAATTAGTTTGAAGGGCAAAGGTTCTCTTCCATTCCCTTTCGCAGGCTTTTCTCTCCTCCCTCATTCTCATCTGAATTAACTCTAAAAGTACCAGACAGTTCTGCATATTTTGTCAAAGCAAGAATATTCAATATTAGCAGCGTTGACAAGCGCCTTTGGGATGGGCCATATACATTTTAACTGTATTTACCGGTAATTCAGTTCGGTTTGGCTTACACCGAAATTATGTTTAGCCAAATGTTGGGTTTTATCCCGCTCTTTCTGTTCCTACATTGGAAAGAGCTTTTGTATCCCTGTCCTACTGGGCTAATGTACCTAGCAGTCGATGTTTGGAGCTTGGTGAATCAAAAACTAGGCAGGTCAAAGAAGGTTTTGCACATTAAAACCTGGAAACTTACTTCATCCATGTGAGCTAAATAGAAGTCAACAAAGCTTTGTGGTTCATGAGATGCCTGAGAAGTCTTAGAGTTTCTCATTTTCTGCTTGATATAAGAAATCATAAATTCACAGGAGGAAACCGCCTTCTTGTGAGGCCCAGGGAGGTATTTCACAAATGAAGGGAAGATGTTATATATCTGGAGGAAGAGAAACAATATTAATTATAATTATCAGTCACCTTGATAGCTTGGATATGTAATATATAAGCCACCATGTGGTGCTCTCTGTGCTTGGTTTATTTGCTTGTAGATGTTTTATCTGAAACATTATTTGCTTGTAGATGTTTTATCTGAAACATTTCAGATAAAACATCTACAAGCAAATAAACCAAGCACAGAGTTAGAACAATTAACCAGTGGAGTTAGAACAGAGTTAGAACAATTAACCAGTGGAACAGCCTGCCTCCAGAAGTGGTGGGTGCTCCAACACTGGAAGTTTTTGAGAAGAGACTGGACAGCCATTTGTCCGAAATGGTGTAGGGTTTCCTGCCTGAGGCAGGGGGTTGGACTTGATGACCTCAAAGATCTCTTCCAATATTATTATTATTATTATTATTATTATTATTACTATTATTATTATTATTATTATTATTATTATTATTATTATTATTATTATTATTATTATTATTATTATTATTATTATTATTATTTTCCTTCCAACTCTGTTATTCATCACCCAACACCATGATAAATATTACCGCTTTTATAAGGCCTTAGTAGGATCACACTTGGAATACTGCATCCAATTTTGATCACCACAATATAAAAAAGATGTTGAGACTTTGGAAAGAGTGCAGAGAAGAGCAACAAAGATGATTTGGGATGGGGTGGGGGTTGAAGGCTAAAACACATGAAGAAAGGAATTGGATATGTCTAGTCTAGTGAAAAAAGGACCAGGGGTGACATGATATCAGTGTTCCAATATCTGACAGGCTGCCTCAAAGAAGAAAGGGATCAAGCTATTCTCCAAAGCGCCTGAAGGCAGGTCAAGAAGCAACAGATGGAAATTAATCAAGGAGAGAAGCAATATAGAATTAAGGAGAAATTTCCCCACAGTTAGAACAATAAACCAGTGGAACTGCTTGCCTTCAGAAGTTGTGGGTGCTCCGACACTGGGGGCTTTTAAGAAGAGACTGGATAGCCATTTATCTAAAATTCTATAGGGTCTCCTGAATGAGGAAGGGGTTGGACTAGAAGACCTCCAAGATCCCTTCCAACTCTGTTATTCTGTATTCTGTGTGATTTTCCCTCTGCATTGTAAGACATATTTATATCTGTTTATAGAGATAGCATTGGGCAAGGTAGATCAATAAAGTATTCCAGGAAATTATAAGGCAGTAATAGGAAAGAAAAGCTTTTATTTACTTTTTTTTTTACTTACCATCTCTCCAAAAGTGCCTCTGCATTTTGTAATATTATTTATCTGTTCAACAAGCTTTTGGAAAGCGTCATCCTCTGTGAGAAGGGCTTGTCCAAAAACTGCTGTGTGGATTATTTTGGAGGCTGAATGCATGATGGGTGGGAAAGGATCCAACGGTTGACCTGTACCCAGAAATTAACAATCTGTTACAAACACAACAAAGCTGGTAGAAGGAAAGAATAGTCTGTAAAGCAAAATGCCTGCCATTGCTAAATAAAGAAACAGTAGAGAGGTCAGCCAGAGAAAGACTGCCTGTCAGCTGCCACTTTACAGCTGCTTGTGCTTCGCTGCCATGTGTTGACAGTTTGCCATGAACTCTGGGAAGGATGAATGAGGGAGGGTGTGCTTGGGGAAAATGAAAGTAACTGCCGTATCTCCCCGAGATGCTGCTTCAAGGTCACCCGGCTGGGAGAAGAAGGCAGCTGCATATCAACCGACATTTGAATTGATTGTTTGGAAAACATATTGCCTGAACCTGATTGGTTATGGGAGAATCAGCAATGGGAGGCAGTTAATTTGGGGGTTTTGGCATGCAATTCTCAGTATTGGCTATGCTTGACTGCGATAGACTTCTAATAAAACTATACCTTTTCCAATGCATGGAGCCAAGGATCGTTTTTACTTAGAAGTTTAAGTCGTGGCAGGTCTGACATTACCTCCCTAACCTTTCAGCCCTCAGCTACATACCCTTGGACTGGGCAAAAGTCTTCACAAGCTGACAAGCCTCCTCTTGTATATGATGTTCCAACCCCTTTTTCATTTGTCCCAATTTCTGGAGGGTAGAATTTCCAAACTGTCTCTGCTTCTTCCAAATTTTTCCATTGGAAAACGTAATGCCTACAACAAATAAGAACCATTAATGCGCTTTACTACAATGTATTGTTTTTTTTATTAGAGACATATTCCATCTTACATTCTGGAAATATGGTTGTCTCTATGGAGATTCTCAGTCATCCAGGTTAGAGTTATCCCAAAGATGCTTTTTCACTAGGCAAGTGGACTTTCTTGTTTTTCTTTTGAATACATTTTGCTTCTCATCCAAGAAGCTTCTTCAGCTCTGAGAGAAATATGGTTGTGTACATCAGGGGTCCCCAACCCCCGGTCTATGGACCAGTACCGGGCCATAGCATGCCAGCAACTGGTCCGCACAAACAAGCAAAGCCCCATCCGCGGGATGCAAGCAGCACACAAAACCACTCCCCTTCTGGTCCACGGAAAAACCTCTCTCCACGGAGCCGGTCCCTGGTACCCCAAAGGTTGGGGACCTGTGGCGTACGTCACACCGTCTCCTCCATTTTTTCCCATAGCAACAAGCATGTAAGATAGGTTGGACAGAGAGTGATTGGCCCAAAATCACCCAGTGAGATTCAGTGGCTGAGGGTAGGTGAAAACCTGGATCTCCCAGGTCCTTTTCAAATGCTTTAAGTACAACATCATAATGGATCTCAGCGATGGCTGGTTTAAAGCAAGATCTGAGATCTGGATTCCAAAGCTCTTTGACCTATCCATCATCAAAATCCCTATCTCCCCAAACCATTGAACTCAGCCTACCTTAATCTTTCACCAACTATCATTAAACATTCACATAAAGTCACTCTTGTGTTAGCTTGGTGGCAATAAAAATAAAGATCTATCCCAAAATAAAATGACTGAAAGGAACACACACGAATTTTCTGTCAACTTACCCTTTCCATTTTCCAGAATTTTTAAAAAAGGAAATATTGGTCGCCCACACAGTGCTTCGGACTGTTCAATTAATCCACTTTTCATAGCTCTGAATCCAGTTAACACAATCACCGGTTTGTGTCCTATCCAAAAGGTGAAGATGTCCCCATAAGTGTCTGTAAGCTGTATATGGGGTCAGCAAAGTCAGGGCAAGAAAAGAGATAAACGTTATGTGATTATGTTATGTTATTGTGGCATTTCAGATATCTGTGGTTGTTAATTTCTTTGTTTAAAACTAATGTATTAAGTATTACAGAGGAAATTAATACAAATAAAAATAAAAGAATAGAGAGAAAAAAATAAAAAGGTAGAAAATTTAAAAAAAGAATGAAATATTGTAAAATTGAGGAAAAAAATAAGAATATAACAAAGCAAGAAAAAGAGATATAAAGAAGTAACTTATCCTTTCATCTAACAAGTATAAAAAGTTTTAATAATTTATTGCTTTACCTTAAAATACAACAAACAAACCCTTCATTCATAACACATGTCTATAAATAAATCCTTAAAACCTAATCATTCAGTCCTGGTCTACAAAAGTCCATTAGAGGTTGCAGAAATAAAACCTACTTATTTTAGTATTGATCAAATAAAGTAAATTTATATTCCTTCTTTTACTTTTAATAATCTTGACCTTTAATCTCTTCAAATAATGTCTTGGAAACTTGATTCCTTTCTTTTTCTACATACCATCAGCAATACCTGAGAGCAAGAAGTGCCAAAGCATTTTAGTTTGCAGAAGACTGGCTGTCGGTGTTTGTGTGTGTATTTGCCAAATGTCATAATAGTAATAATATAATAATAGCTGACAATGCTGCAGATGCCAAAACAGTGTTGGTACTTAAAGGTAAAACACACTTCTCTATTTGGAATTTTAGCAGGAGTAAGAATTTTTATTTACTTTATTTATTTATATCTCATACTACAGTGATGGCGAACCTTTTAGAGACCGAGTGCCCAAACTGCAACCCAAAACCCACTTATGCATCATCGGGTGCCGGGTGGGTGTGGCCCATTGGGTGGGCATGGCTGCGGTGGTAACAGCAGACTGGGTGGGACTAAAAAGTTCAATCAATCAATTCCAACTTTGCAAGATCTTTTTTTTTCCTGCGAGAAGTTGAAATTGATTGATTGATTGAACCTTCTTTTTGTACATGGTGGCAGAGGTCTAAAGCAAAAAGATTTTATAAAACCCAGCTGAAGGCCTAGGACTGGGGCGATGGCACGCATGCCCACAGAGAGGGCTCTGAGTGCCGCCTCTGGCACCCGTGCCATAGGTTCGCCACCACTGTCATACTAGGTAATCCCTGAGTTATGAGCGTTCACTTAATGCTTGTTCGAAGTTACACGATAAGCGCCTCCAGTTGTTGTTAATTGCAAAGTCGTGTCCGACCCATCACGACTTCTAAACAGAAGAAAAAGCATGTTAAAAGCAAAGTAAAAATGGCTGCAATTTCCATCAGTTGTCAGAGCAGGAACATCCAATGTTACAGCGCTGACAAGAGGAAGAACTGATGATTCAAAAGTACTGACATGGAAGGTTAGTTGGCAAAGGAAGAAAGCCAGAGTGAGGCTGAAAGAAACCAGGGTTTTGATTTATTAGAGGAGAGTTCATATTACTGATTAGAGGGTTGAATATGGTAGAAAATAGATATTTTTTAGAAAATAAAGTAACATTATAATTGAATAGGTAAGATGTGTAATAAGACTAATAGACTTTTGGTTTAATATGGTGGAAAATAGATAACTTTTAGAAAACAGAACAAGATTATATGCAAATTGATAAGATGTGTGTTTAGAATATTAGATTTTGTTATAAAAAGGGGAAGGTAGAAGTTGAGATAAGGGAAACTTTGGTTACCTAATGCTTGGAAATTATAAATACCAAATGTTAATTTGAATATTGATGGGAAATTAAAGCTTGGGGAAAAAGCAATAACAGGACATTGATTGTATATGAATGCAAACACAATTAAGATATGTATAAGCTAAAAATTATTGATAAATGTAACAAAGATGTGATGACCAGTAGGGGACAGTAGCAATTGTGAATACGTGCAGATAGCCCTGCTCTCTCCGGCCACTTGCAGAATCCTGGATGCAAGGTCATGAAAGGACAGCAAGGAAAACACCCAATGTCCTAACCCAATGTTCCCAATGTCCGGGAACATATGGTGCCTTGGCGAAACACCCAAACCACAAAAAGGGAACATATTAGCTACTTCTGCTTTCTTCCTTCTTATCTACAGTGTGCCAGCCTTAAAGGGCGAAGTCTTTATCCTATGTGTGTCAGCTTTGCTGGGTGAATAGCTTATGTAATCAAAGCAGGTATAAAAATAAGGCTTTTTCGATATTTGGGGCTTTTCTCTCTCTTTAGAGAAGCCCGTATTTGCTCAGCTGAATAAACACGTAACTCTTGAAGGCAACTTCTGGTTTCCTGTATTTTTTATCAAGCAAAACCTCAGAACCTGCATATCAGATGGTTTTACTTCGTTGATAATAATAAGAACTGTATTAGCCTAATGTAAGAAAGTAGATATTAAGGGGAAAAGAGAGGAAATATCTGATGTTGTAACTTAAGATTTGTGCAAAAGATCTGTGTATGTTATTGCATTATTGATTAACCCAGTCACCTCATTGCTTTTTAAATGTTTGATTGTAAAATTAGAAAACTAATAAAATATTATTTAAAAAAAATAAAATAAAGCAGAGAGGCCGACCGGCAAAAGGGAATTCAGGAGGGTGGCCAGCCGAATCCAGCAGTGGCCAGAACGGTCCCTGGTCCACCATTTTAAGGCCAGATTGGATCATAATTTATACCAAGCGTGCACTTAGAGGGGAGTCCCTAATCTGCTACACCAGGGGTAGTCAACCTTGGCTCTTTTATGACTCGTGGACTTGAAGTCCACGAGTCATAAAAGAGCCAAGGTTGACTACCCCTGTGCTACACGAATGGTACCATCTGGCTATAAACCTGGACATCAAGCTGAACCGCTACAAAAAAAACCCTCCTATGCCAGGAGCCAGACCAAAACCAGACCAGGGGAGGCGTCAGGCTCAACAACGAACCCTACCTGTTGCAATCACCGGAGTCCCTAGAACACCTGCACGACCTCCAATCAAGTGCTTCAGATGTGGTCAACCAGGGCACCGAGCAGCAGACTGTCCAGTTCCTAAGAGTGCACCGGTTGCTTCAGCTAAACCTAAGAGGGGATCCCCACCAATGCGTGAATGGTCAAATTGGATCAGCCAAGAGAAAGCTGTGCAGATCATCTCCCCTTTACAAGAGAAAACCAAGGTCCTGACTGAGATCTTGCCTTCGCCTGCTCCTTGCGACAGTGATAACAAAGGAGACGACAACCCGATGGTGAGTCAGAGGGTCCCACCTTTTGCGTTTTCTGTGACGCTCCTAGTCCCTAAGACAGGAGCGCAAATGGATTTACATGTTTTAATTGACTCTGGCTGCACCGGATGCTTAATCAACCTCCCCACAGTGCTTAAGTTAGGCATTCGGGCCACGTTATTGCCCACACCCATGAGATTCGAGCAGGCGGACGGATCCCTGATAGGTGGGGCCCCAGCAACTAACTTAACCGAACCAGTGAGCCTAGAACTAGGGGAGCATTGGGAGTTTATCTGTTTTGTGGTGGTTCCAAAGATGATTGAGGCTGTAATTTTGGGGCTTGCCTGGCTGGATAAATGGCAACCCATGATACATTGACAAGAACCCGGCTAGAGGATTCATTCAGCCAGCAGAATCCCAAGTAGCTGCCCCTATACTGTTCAAAGAAAAAAAAATGATGGATTGCTGTGATTGTGCATTGATTTTAAAGGATTAAATGGTGTCAGTGTGGAGAATATGTACCCCTTCCCTTAATGAAGGGCATGTTAGCCCATTTAGCCAGAGGAAAGATTTTTTACCAAATTGGATCTAAGGGAAGCGTTTTATCGAGTGAGAACTGAAGCTCCCTCGCCTTTTGGGAAGAATCCACCCAGTTTTTCAAGGCAGTCTATGAAAGTCTTTCAGGGAGTCATCTTTAAGACCTCCTCCCAAACAGTCCTCTTGTAGTAGAAGGAGAGACTCGTTATGAAATAAAACGATGCAAAGAAGAAGTCAGGAAAGCAAAGGCTCAGAACAACAGAAATCAAGGACAACAGAAATCAAGGACAACAAAAAAAAAGTTTCTTCCAACATATTAACAAGAAAAAAGTCAAGGAAACTGTAGGCCCACTAAAGAGAGAAGATGGCAAGGAAATAACAGGCAACAAGGAGAAAGCAGAGCTGCTTAACTCAGTCTTCACGCAAAAAGAAACTATACCCTAACATACCAAAAAAAAAAAAAACCACTGCAAAAGACACACTAGAAACAAAAATTAAAATAAGCAAGAAAATGGTAAGAGAACTCCTACACGACCTAGACGAGTAGAAATCACGGGGACCCAACAGATTACATCCCAGAGTTCTGAAAGAGCTGGCAGATGTTATTTTAGAACCGCTGCACCACATCTTTCACAAATCCTGGAGCACCAGGGAAATACCCGAGGATTGGAAAAGGGCTGATGTGGTCCCCATCTTCAAGAAAGGGAAAAAAACAGAGCCAGGAAACTACAGACCAATCAGCTTAACATCAATACCTGGGAAGATCCTAGAAAAGATAATCAAAAAACAGATCTGCAAACAACTAGAAGCAAACAAAGTCATAACTAGTAGCCAGTTAAAAACTGATCGTGCCAAACCAATCTTATCTCATTCTTTGATAAAGTAGTAGACCAGAGAAACGCAGTGGACGTAGTATACTTAGATTTCAGTAAGGCATTTGACAAAGTAGACCACAACCTACTAATTGCCAAGCTAGAAAAAGGTGGAATAGATCAGGGCTTTTCAACCAGTGGTATGCGTACCACCGGTGGTACATTGGCACCTGGCAGGTGGTACGCGGTCCTGCCCAGGCTAGCTAAGTATAGCGGGGGAGGGAGCGAGCCAAAGCAGTGCAATGCAGGACTTACCATGAGAGAATCCTCAGGAGCTGCAGAGCGGCTGGGGTAAGGCAAAAGCCCCAGGATCAGTACTTCCAGCTTACCCAGAAGAGAAAGAAGGAGGAAGGCGGCGGAGAGAGGAGAGG